GTTTTCAGCCAGTCTTGGGGGAGGTTGGTTCCGCTCCAGCCAGCCGCCTCCCAGTGCTCGTGTCTGGGCCACGGCAGAAGGGACCAGATGGTGTGGAGGGCTGGGAGTTCTGACCCCAGATCAGCACGCACCCTTCAGATGGGCTCTCTTCCACAGAGGCCACAGTAGCCACCAGCAGATTAAGCCACTCTTTCACACGTGAAATTGTCTAAAATCAGGACACACAAGGACATTTCAAAAAGTTTGGGGGAAATGGGAAAAAAAGATGTTTATTTTAGTGCAAAGAATTTTTGAAATCCATGCATAGTTTTCTCATCATATGCATTTTCCATGAATCTGCTGAAGACTCCTTTTATGCATGGATTTCAAAAAGGTTTTTGCACCTAAATAAACTTATCTTTTTATTTCATTTTCAAGAACTTTTTACCAAAAAAAAAAAAAAGTTTATTGGGCCAGTGCTGTGGCATAATGGGTAAAGCTGCTGCCTATAGTGCCAGTATCCTATATGGCTGCCAGTTCAAGTCCCGGCTGCTCCACTTCGGATCCAGCTCTCTGCTATGGCCTGGGAAAGCAGTAGAAGATGGCCCAAGTGTTTGGGCCCCTGCACCCACATGGGAGACCTAGAAGAAGCTCCTGGATTCAGATCAGCTCAGCTCCAGCCCTTGCAGCCATTTGGGGAGTGAACCAGCAAATAGAAGATTCTCTCTCTCTCTCCCTCTCTCTCTCTCTCTCTCTCTCTCTGTCTCCCTCCCTCTGCCTCTCTATAACTCTGCCTTTCAAATAAATAATACGTTGAAAAATGTTTATTTTATTTTCATCTACTTGAAGGGCAGAGCGAGAGCGAGAGAAGAAGAGGGTTAAGAGAGATCATCTGCCTGCTGGTTCAGTCCCCCAAATGCCCACAACAGCCAGGGCTGAGCCACGCCAAAGCCAGGAGCCAGGAGCTGCCTCCAAGTCTCCTACATGGGTGGCAGGGACTCGAGAACTTGGGCCACCATCGGTTGCCTCCGAGGATGCACATCAACAGGAAACTGGAATCAGGCGCAGAGGCTCTGGACCCAGGTACTGTGAGACGTGGGTGCCCCGAGCACTGAGCAAGGGCCCTGAGGCGGATGGTTGTGGAGAGGACATTGAATGCCACTGCCAGGGTTCCGGGCTGGCAGAAGCAAGCACCACCTGTCGCACCCAGGGTCAGATTAGGAAAAGAGGTGCACGGGAGAGACAACTGAACCCACTCACCCATGATTGCTAAAGAGTCCAACTTGGGGCCGGCACTGTGGCATAACAGGTTAAGATCCCAGCCTGCAGTGCTGGCATCCCATATGGGTGCCGGGTTGAGTCCCGGCTGCTCCTCTTCCAATCCAGCTCTCTGCTATGGCCTGGGAAAGCAGTGGGAGATGGCCCAGGTCCTTGGGCCCCTGCACCCACCCACTTGAGAGACCCAGAAGAAGATCCTGGCTCCTGGCTTCGGAATGGCTCAGTTCCGGCCATTGTGGTCATTTGAGGAGTGAACCAGCAGAATGGAAGACCTCTCTCTCTCTCTCTCTGGCTCTACCTCTCTCCGTAACTCTGTCTTTCAAATAAATAAAATAAATACTTAAAAAAAATAAATAAAGAGTCCAACTTGAACTGTTTCCTTGGAATCTACTCAGGCCTCCAGCAAAACTCCCAGCACCCGGGAAATAACCAATGAAAAGAACCAGTGACATAACACCAGGGACTCCGCATGACGAGTCCTAAATGCTCACCCCACGTGCAAGGTGTGTGGTGGATCCGCTGGGTTCTCTCTTTCCAACTTGCCCATTGTGTTGGAAATTTTTCAGAATTAAAAAATCATGGTGAGAACAAGCACATAAAAAAGATGCTTAAGATCAGTAGTCGTTAGGAAATGCAAATCAAACTCACAACGAGCTACTAACGTCACACCCCTCGATGGCACAAGAAAAACAGACACGGAAAGAGGCAAAGATGTGGAGACATTGGCGCCCTTGTATGTAAGTTCTGTGGAAAGAGTTGGATAATTGGTCAAAAGCCAACTGAATGGTCATGGGATGCTAATGTTTCTTTTCTAGGTGTCTGTGTATGTGAGTTGGAAAAAAAAAAAAAAAACAGGTCCTCAAACCAGTACTTGCATACAGACAGTCAAAGCAGTGCTGTTTACAACAAGGCCAAAAGATGGGAACCCGACTGCCGCTGGACTGTTCCACTTCTGCTCTGACTTCTTGCTAAGAGGCCTCCTGGGAGGCAGCAGGTGACGGGCCCCAGGTACTGAGTCCCTAACGCACAGATGGGAGTCCTGGGCAGAGCTTCCATGTGGCCCTGCCCTGGCTGTGTGGCCATCTGGGCAGTGAAGCAGTGGATGGAAGATCTGTGCATCTCTCTTTGCCTTTCAAATAAAAGGGAAAAACCATGGGAGCAACTCAAACATCCACTAACAGGCAAACAGGTACACAAGTTGTTAGGTGGCAAAATGATCTTCAGCTGTGACTGTTAATGAAATGGTGATGCATGCTTCAACATGGATGAACTGTGAGGACTGATTGGTTGATTGATTGATTGACTTGAAAGAGCAACAGAGAGAGGGAAGTGCTGTGGCGTAGTGGGCAAAGCTTCTGCCTGTGGCACCAGCATCCCACATGGGCGCTGATTTGAGTCCCGGCTGCTCCTCTTCGGATCCAGCTCTCTGTGTATGGCCTGGGAAAGCAGCATAAGATGACACAAGTCCTTGGGCCTCTGCACCTGCGTGGGAGACCTGGAAGAAGCTCCTGGCTCCTGGCTTCAGATCGGCCCAGCTCTGGCCATCTGGGGAGTGAACCAGCAGATGGAAGACCTCTCTCTCTCTCTGCCTCTCCTTCTCTCTGTCTATAACCTGCCTCTCAAATAAATAAATAAAATATTTTTAAAGAAAAAAAAAACAATGAGAGAGGGAGAGACAGAAAAAGAAATCTTTCATCCTCTGGTTCACTTCCCAAATGGCCACAGATGTGAGGATAGCACCGGCCAGAAGCCAGGAGCCAGGAACTCCATCTGGGTCTCCACACGGGTGGCAGGGGCCAAGCACTTGGGCCATCTTCCCCTGCCTTCTCAGTGCATTAGCAGGGAGCTGGATCAGAAGCGGAGCAGTGGGACTCACACAGGTACTCCAATATGGGATGACTGGGTCGCAAGCAGAATCGTAACCTGCTGGCCCACAGCGCCTGCCGCATCTCTTGAAACTTATTTGCTCTAAAGGGACCTAGGCTGCTCCCCTCCCCCTGCCCCTCCCCTTCCCCTCCCCCCCTTGCTGGCAGGCGGGGAACTCAGCTTCCATGTGCACCTGACAGATTTGCACACTCGTCTCCCGCTCCTCCGCCTCCCAAAAGCGGAGAGGAAACTCCCCGAGCCCCTCCAGGAGCAGCAACGCGTTCTGCTGAATTTTCTTGGGGATTCTTTCCCTAATAGTTTCCCACGTGGGCCACGCCCACCGCACTGGGAGGCCGGAGCACCAATGAGCACCGCCCTCGTGCTGAAGGTGCCCCGTTGCTGCCCATTGCTGGCGCCCCTCCACATCCCAGTGTTTGCGAGAGACGTGCAGCCCGCCCGCCCTCCCGCGCACAGGCAGTTATGTAAAAATCAGCAAGCGAATCCAGAGCTCCTAAGATTGACACCCCCGAGCAAGGACGTGCAGGCTGATGAGGACGGAACCACCCTTTGCCAGAGCCGGCTCCCTGGCACGGTGATCACACGTGCCCGACAGCCGTCAGTCACCGCACCTGCCGTACTGCTGGCTCAGAAGTGGGAGTGCTGACGATGGGTTGGAACGAGGGCATGGTGACGCGGAGAACAGGAGACAGGCCCAAAAAAACGCTACAGGGAGGGCGGTGGGAGGTGGGGACCAACTTCAGCCGCATCAGTCTGCTCCTCCGTCTTTACAAGGTCAAGTTGACCGGATCAGACAGAGCCCCAGAACGCGGTGATTTGACCATCACCGTTAACCCCACACTGACATGCACTCCCTCGGTAGCTCTTCTGTGCTGAACCTGTCACCGCCTCTTCGAAACATTGCTGGTTTCCATGGAAACCCAAAAAGCACTCACTGGAAGAGCTGCTGGAGATTTCAAGTCGAGATGTCCAAAGCTACCCGCTGCGAGAGATTTTCTAAGACCTGATTGGAAAAGAGACACAACAGCCCCGCTTTGCCAAGAGCACAAAGGAAAGCGAGTGACCCGGAGAGAAGCCGCCTGACCCGGCTGCTGAGAGCCAGCATGGCCTCTGCACCACGTCCTTTGCAATTCAAGCTCAGGGGAGCTGTCGTCCGGCGCATCCGGGGGCTCCGGCCCTCGGGGCGCGCGTGCTTTTGTTGGGGCTTAGGAGCCACTCGGCTGTCCGCAGAGTGGAAGCCTGGACAGCACCAGGCAGCCACGTGACCGTCAACAGGCTCGCTGAGTGAACCCAGCTCTCCTGCACGCCAATCTGCCCTCCCACTCTCGAAACTAAAAAAGAGCACCTCGGCTCCTCTGATTATACAGCTATTTTATTTTTTTAATCTACTCTGTAAGGCAGGAATGCAACATGGAAGGTAATAGCTTCCTCCAACAGCTGCCAAATTCGCAGACCACAGGACGAAATTCAAAAAAGCTCCAGAGGAGGACATGTGAATGTATGCTTTTTAAAAATAAATAAATAAATTTATAAAGTAGATGAGCTGGACTTTTTTTTTCTCTGTATCACCTGGAAAAACTTGGAAAGTGCATCCTCCTGGTCCAGTCTTGGGGGAGGCCAGTGAATTTTGCTTGGCCCATTTGACAAATATGGCCTCCATCATTGGACTTATCCCAGAATTCAGGCTGACTTCTCCAATTTGGAGGTTGGAAGCTCCATCCTCGCTTCTGGTTACGCCAGGTAGAAATGCGGGAGTCACCTCCTTCTCCCTCAACCCCTCCCTCTTGCTCATTTTATTTCTCTCAACCATTTCTTTTTTTTTTTAAATTTTTTGACAGAGTGGACAGTGAGAGAGCGAGACAGAGAGAAAGGTCTTCCTTTGCCGTTGGTTCACCCTCCAATGGCTGCCGTGGCCGGCGCGCCGTGCTGATCCAATGGCAGGAGCCAGGTGCTTCTCCTGGTCTCCCATGGGGTGCAGGGCCCAAGCACTTGGGCCATCCTCCACTGCACTCCCTGGCCACAGAAGAGAGCTGGCCTGGAAGAGGAGCAACCGGGACAGAATCCGGCGCCCTGACCGGGACTAGAACCTGGTGTGCCGGCGCCACAAGGTGGAGGATTAGCCTAGTGAGCCGCGGCGCCGGCTCTCTCAACCATTTCTTAAGTTCTCCTGCTCCATCCCACCTCCACCACTGATCCTAGTCGAGATGATTATCATCTGTTGCTAGGACTATTGCAGTAGCCTCCCAGCTCATCCTTCTCTGCTCCTGAAGTCGCCTTCCTCAGTAACCTTATTTTCCAGATACTGAGACCAGGTGGTGCACTGTGGAAGCTGGGCATCCTGGGAAGGCACAAATATAGCCGAGAAAGCCAAGTGGTAGATCGTGTCCCTGACCCCAGGACCACCACCAAAGCCGCCACGGCCTCACTGCTGGCTTGCTCCTCTGGGGCGAGGCTGGGGCCGGGCTGCCAACTTCCCTGCGCTCACCGTAGCACCAGTCATGGCAGCTTGGCGCTCAAGTTCAAGGCCACCGCAGACTGCTGGTGACTCTGCTCTTGCCATCAAGTCTAGACTTGGACAAAGCACAGCACAGCAGGTCCTGGGAGCTGGCTTCCTCCCAGCAGCTTCCCTGAGGGGCTACTCTTCCTGTGCAAATGTTATGTCCCCGTGGGATAAGCTTTGATCCCTGAGCGTCGAGACCCAGGAGAAAAATCCCTCTCTCTTCCTCTCTTCAACCAACTGTGCCAAGGTTCAGCCGGTCCAAAGATGTCCCCTGGGACTGAGCCGCTGGCCCGGAGCCTTTTTGCGGTGCTGTCACCAGCTCCATCTCACATTTCTTATGTCGGCCCCGCCCCCTTCTTTGACTCATGCCCTGCCCTGTGATCTTCACCTAAATTCTGCTTATCCGCCTCGACTCAGCCCAGGCACAGCTTCCTCTCTACCAACTCACCCAGTTCCCTGCTCTCCCGACCCCTCAGGAAAGGTGTGAGTCAAGTGTCCTCTCTCTGGGCTTCCACAAAAATCTGAATTCTTAAAACAATCAGTTTCATTGCATGGTCTGCTCCTCTAGGCTTCTTCTCTGTTAGAGCATAAACTCAGAGCAGGGGCGATGTTTTATCGACTCTGATTTCCCCAGCACCTGGCATAGTATCCAGAAGACTCGCTAAAGATGCCCGCTGGGGGCACTCTGTGAGGTCTGCAGTGGGGGACAGGACTCCTACTGACGTGAGATGCTAAAGGCAGGCGCTCCTGGGCATGAAGACAGCATGGGCCAGTACCCAGAGGCAGAAGACCAGCGCACAGGGGCTACGCTTGGCCTGGGAGGTAGAGGGTTCCTTGTGAAACCCCTTGACAACACGCTGATGAGTTCATCTGTCTCTGCAGTGGGTAACTTGGGAGCCATAGGAATCAAGTTGCTGGGCTAGAAAGCTTAAACTGTCAGTGATATGCAGGTGTGTGGGGAGCTGTACCGCCTGGGCACTAGTTTAGGTGAGAACAACCGTGGCAGCAAGAGAATGGGGAAGAAAGAGCCTTGTGAGGTGCAACGGGCAGGGACTCTCCCAGAGGTAGCAGGCGCCTGTGAGCGAATAGGATCAACGTTGGCTTCTAGGATTCAAGACAAGGGCTGGGGCTGGGGCTGGGGCTGGGGTGGTGATGGAGCCAGCAACAGAGAAAGGAAAGGCAAGATTGTTATATGCAGGGCCAGAAGGAACGACTGAGAATTGCCAGATGTATTGTAATTAAAGATGAGACTGTTTTCTGCAATACACATGCACAGATACAGACACGTGGATGCCATCACATCACCAGCACCACCAGCACCACCACCACGTCACCATCATAACAAGTACAGTCTCCACTAACACCATCACCATCACCACCATCACAAATATCACCACCACCACTGCCACCAAAATCACCACCGTCACCATAACAACTCCACCAGTGCCATCACCATCATCACCATCATCACTACCATCACCACCATCACCATCATCACCACCACATCATCATCACCACCATCACCATCATCACTACCATCACCATCACCATCATCACCACCACATCACCATCACCATCATCATCACCACCATCACCATCATCACCACCATCACCATCATCATCATCATCACCACCATCACCATCATCACCACCATCACCATCATCACCATCACCCTACCACCGCTACCCCCAGCAACAGCCCCAGTGTAGTTGCCCTACTTCCATTCTTCCATCACCAGAAGAAAACAACACTTCCACCAAACCTGAGGGCCAGAGCCCTGTGTCCCGCCAGTGGATGCTATAAATGTGAGGTAGGTCGCTGGGGGTGACTGTGTTAGCTCCCTGTTTAGCTCTCTCTGCAAAATTCCATCTCTCTGTGGCCACCTAAACATTTACACTGTGGCATATATTTCTTGAGGATAACTGAATAAATTCCTTTAGGGACAGGTAATGCTGATAAGTTAGGAAAGAAAGCAAAAGAGCAGAGGAGAAAATTTCAAAGTTACATAACAATAGGAAAATTCCTCTTCCCTTACAGTAAGGCGTCAGTCTCACGGAGAGAGGAACTTGGGAGCTGTACTTCCAACGAGCTGCAATTGCACTTATCATCGTTGTTGCGTCACATGCATTTGCTCGGTGCCCAGCTGTGGCTGTTATTTGGTTAATGAGTTACAGCATCGACAGCTGGCACCCGGGGAGATGGAGTACTGAAGTTGCCATCTCCGACTTTGATGTTTATTTTCTGAAGTGCAGTCCCAACACAAAGCCTCAGTCAGAAACAGGAGGGCAGAGACTATCAGATAACGAACAAGAGAAAGTGAAAAGCAGGTGTCTTTTATAGTGTGTGAGCAAGTGGAACATTTGGAGGGCGTGTTGGGGGAGGGCTGGTGTATCAATTTCAGATGGGACTTTTGGAGAGAGTTCTGTCCTCCTTTACATCAATGCAGGCCGGCACCGTGGCTCAATAGGCTAGTCCTCCACCTGCAGCGCCAGCACACAGGGTTCTAGTGCCGGTCGGGGCGCTGGATTCTGTCCCGGTTGCCCCTCTTCCAGGCCAGCCCAGCCGTCTGCTATGGCCCAGGAGTGCAGTGGAGGATGGCCCAAGTACTTGGGCCCTGCACCCCATGGGAGACCAGGAGAAGCACCTGGCTCCTAGATTTGGATCAGTGCGATGCGCCGGCCGCGGCGGCCATTGGAGGTGAACCAACGGCAAAAAGGAAGACCTTTCTGTCTCTCTCTCTCTCTCACTGTCCGCTCTGCCTGTCAAAAATAAATAAATAAAATACATCAATGCAAAAGTGATACAGAAACATGTGAATTGTAGCACAGTGGGTAAAGCCGCCACCTGCAGTGCCAGCATTCTATATGGCTGCCGGTTCAAGTCCCAGCTTCTCCACTTCCAATCCAGCTCCCTGCTAATGCACCTGGGAAAGCAGCAGAAGATGCCATAAGTGCTTGGACCTCCTGCGCCCACGTGGGAGACTTGGATGGAGTTCCAGGCTCCTGGCTTTGACCTGTCCCAGCCCCGGTTGTTGTAGCCATTTGGGGAGTGAACCAGCCAATAGAAAATCTCTCTCTCTCCCTCTCTCCTTCCCTCTTTCTCTATAACTCTTTCAAATAAATAAATAAAACTTTGTAAAAAAAAAAAAAATCTACTTCCGAACCACCTGGGCAGCTCCCCCAGACTCCGACTCTGTGCGCCGGGAGCGGGGCCAGGGACTCTGCCTTTGCTCGCAGCCCCAGGTGGAGAAGCACTGTGGATCTTTCTCCCAGGTCTTCTCAAGCCCATTCATCCCTGTAACAGCTCGCACACACTCACTCATGGAGTCAGAAGTACCTGCGGAGGCTCGGCTTTGGGCCAAGCTCTGTCCTAGGCACCGGAGGAGGAGGAGAAGGCAAGCACGTCCCTGCGCTGTGCAGGAGGGGTTTGTCGCCCGGCAGGTGACGCAGATGACAAATGAATCAGCAGACAGCGAGCCTGCAGGATGGTGAGGAAGCTGTGGGAAAGCCGGGCAGGGTAGGGGCCCAAGTGTGTCCTTTCTGATGCATCTACATCCCCCGAGGCCACCACTGGTTTGCCCGCTCACCTGGTCCTTCCCCCATCCTCCAATGCATTCATTCCCAGCACTTACTGGGGATCTCCTGTGTGCCAGGAACACATTTCCCCCACCACACCTGTCCAGCCCCACTAGGGATGCTTTACTTTTCATTCCCTGGGCTTCTCAGAGGTTCCACAGCATAGAGGCAGCATCCCATGTCAGAGTGGTGGCTCCAGTTCCAAACCAGCTCCCTGCTGATGCACCTGGGAAAGCAGCAGAGGGTGGCCCAAGTAGCTGGGCCCCTGCTATCCACCTGTGAGACCCAGGTGGAATTCTGAGCTCCTGGCTTCAACCCAGATGAGCCTTAGCCATTGCAGTCATTTGGGGAGTGAACCAGCGAATTGAAGATTCTCTCTCTCTTTCATTCTCTCTCCCCAATAAACAAATAAATCTTCAAAAATTAAAGAAGTTCCACAGTTTTTCACAGACCCTCCAGATCCAAGGTCCACATACACCCTCGTTTTCCATGAGCCCTTAGCCCAGCCACGTCCTGCACCCCCAGCTCATTGGTCTGGATCTCTGACTTCCCAAACCACATAGCGTTGCAGCCCTCACGCCCTTTGACCCAGCCTGGCAGGGGCTTGGTTCAGACTTGATGGTGACCAGATGAAGGGGGGCCACGAGGAGCACAAAGTTTGCAAACACTGAGGTTCCTCATGTGCACACAAATTCCTCCTGTGGTTGAGCCGGATCCTGAAGCTGGAATGGGCGTCGTGGGGCAGCAGCTTACGCCTCCACTCAGAACGCCTGGAGTCAAGTCCAGGAATGTCTGGGATCCATTCCCACCTCCACGTCCCATCCAGCTCCTTGCAGATGCGCACCCTGGGAAGCAGTGGGTGATGGCTCAAGTCCTTGGGCCCCTGCCTCCCACGTAGGAGACCTGGATTGGGTTCCAGGCTCCCGACTTTGGCTGCTACGGGCATTTGGGAAGTGAACCAGTCGATGAAAGATGCTTTTGCCCTCTCTCGCTCTCTCCAGCGTTCAAATAAATAAAAATAAACAGATAAATAAGCCCCTTTTGTAAAGATCCTGAAGGCTTAAATGAAAATGACTATGATGCGTGTCCTTTGAGGAATGCAGAAGCTGAGAACAGAGGGAAACCAAAATGTTCGCGCATGCCTAAGCCAGACTGCCCGGAAGCAATGCACATCTACCATCTCGGCCAACGCTGCAATAACACCCCTGGGCTGGGAATCAGCCCACGGCTGCAGGTGGACAGCTAAAGCTCAGAGAACTCAGGAAAGCCACGCCTATAGCCACACGGCTCAAGATGCGCAGAACTGGGATTCGAACCTCCATCTCCTTGTCTCCTTCCACCTCACGGGGCAAGAATCTGCAAAGGTTTAAAAATAATATCATCAGCTGGATGTCTCCGGTCTGCAGAACTCAGCCTGAGACTCAGAACCCTGATACACAGCCTTTCAATCCTACGTAGGTCACGTGTGTCTGTCAGGGGGTCACATCGTGACCCCACCACCCTCCCACTCCACCGCTGGGTCAACCAGATAGAACCCGGCAGTGCTGATAAATTACTACCTGAGATAAGTATAAGCAAACAAGGACAAAATACAGACAAAAAGACCCAAAGGAAGCTTGCAAGGAATAAACAAACAAAAACCCTGAACGAAACCCTAGTACATCTGATTCAGCCTTTTGCAAACTCCCCCAGTGCGTGAGAACCAAATGAATTCATGTACAATGCAAAGAAGACTTAGGTCCATGGAGTTCATTGATGGAGCCCGAGTGCTCAGCACTAGGCCAGGAGACCCCACCATGGCCCACAGGTGCTCACCTTGCTCCTTCTAGAAATGGGTCCACCGATGGGGTGACTTATGCTGCTCTGGTGTCTTCACACTGTCTGATTTTTTCCCCAAAAGCCAGGAAATTCTGGCTACCTGCAGTGTGCAAAGACAGCCGGCCAGGCCAGGATGCTGGTGCCAGGTCCCAGGGTCCCTCCCTAGAGGAAATAGATGCCTCTCGGATTGCAGCTGCAGAAGGGGGAGGGGGGCAGGGTGTGCTGCGGAGGCAGCGGTTTGGACATCAACTGTGTGAGTCATGCCCCAGGCAGCTTTTTACAAGAGTTGCAGATTCCAGTAAGAGCAGCCCAAGAACCTCTCGAGGGACACCCAGCCAATCGAAGGTCCCTTTTGCTCCGTCTCGGCAGTCCGGAGTCAGCGCTGGAACAGCTGGTCTTCACATTGTTCCCGACTTGGATCCCTGGGCCTCTAGAAACCAGGAAGTAAGTCACTCCTCTGCCAAGCTGGAGGGGTCGGGCCGTGTTCCTTGGTGGAGGCACCACGCTGAGCCTTGCTCCCGACAGGGATGCCATTTCCTTGTTCCACATCCTGGATGTGAACTGGCAGCATCCTTGTGCCCTTCTCCAAGCCACTCTCCGGCCTTCTCCCCTGTCCCTAGCCCCCGGGAAGCTGGTAGTGTGAACTCCCAATGTGGGCTTCCTCTTGTTTGGCTTCCAGCCGGGTATAGCCCACGGGGAGCCCTCGCGGGAGGTGGGAAACAGCAGCAGGAGGTCAGACTCACTGGCTTCCTCCTTGTGGGGTCACCACGTGCTGACCGCGTCTTTCACGGGGAGAGCACAGCCCCCTCTGGGTGCTGGTGACCACTCCCTCTCTTGTCTGTGCAGAACGAAGAGAGCTGACATCCCCCTGTGTGACACTGCACCCTCCCGGAGCGCTCCTTCCTCCTTTCCCAACTCCTTTATTAGACCATCTTCCCGCCTCTGGGCGCCTGACTGATACCCATAGCTAGAGTCAAAGCAAACCTTACCTGCCTCACTGCTGCTGTGCCAACTGAAGTTTCCGGAACTTTCCAGAGCTTTGGAGGAACCGCGTGGCATCCTTGTCATACCAGCTCCTCCCCTGAGCCCGCTGTCCACGGCCATCTCCCTCCAGGCTCCCTCTGGTCCTCGCCGGACCTCCTGACTTCCTCAAACCCCGCCAGCTCACCTCCCACCGCGTTCACGGCTCCTTCCTCCCGCCGCCCGCTCCCAGCTCCCAGCTCCCAGGCGAGGGATTCTCATAGGTTGTCAAGTTTAATCCTCACCCCTGTAAACTCCCCGAGACAGACGATCATTTTCATTTTTTTAATTTGTTTGGCATCACGGTATTCCGGGAGCTGGAAACTCAAGTGTCTGTGGAACATGGCAGGTCCCATAAACAAGGCGAGAGGCCAAGGCTAATAAAAGTCACTCAGCCCTCTTGGTCTGGCTCTTGTTTTCCCACTTGGGACAGAGATGTGGAAGCACAGGAATGTGCTCTTACTTAAACTCCGCCCCCCACACACACACCAATGCAATGACAAGGATTGCGGCAAGGGAACACTGACACTGGTGTTGGGGACCACTAGGGCTTGCAACACGCCACAGAGCAGCCCATGTTGGCCAGATAACTCAGATAACTGCACACAAGGGAAGCTGGAAAGTGACATTTTTATGTGTCATCACCTAACTTTAAAATACTGCAAAATTTTAACAACCCTGTGCAGAGCACATATCTACTACATATATCTTTGTGCTGGATTTATTTATTTAAAATGTACTCATTTATTTGAAAGGCAGAGCTACAGAGAGAGGGAGAGACAGAGAGACAGAAGACAGACAGACAAGGCCGGTGTCACGGCTCACTAGGCTAATCCTCCGCCTGTGGCGCCGGCACACTGGGTTCTAGTCCTGGTCGGGGCGCCGGATTCTGTCCTGGTTGCCCCTCTTCCAGTCCAGCTCTCTGCTGTGGCCCGGGAGTGCAGCCAGATCTCTGCTGTGGCCCCGGGAGTGCAGTGGAGGATGACCCGGGTTCTTGGGCCCTGCGCCCCATGTGAGACCAGGAGAAGCACCTGGCTCCTGCCTTCGGATTGGCGCGGTGCGCTGGCTGTGGCTGCCGTTGGAGGGTGAACCAACAGCAAAAGGAGGACCTTTTTCTCTGTCTCTCTCTCTCACTGTCCACTCTGCCTGTCAAAAAAATTTTTTAAAAAAAGACAGACAGACGAGATCTTTCCTCTGCTGGTTCACTCCCCATGTGGCCAGGTCGAAACCAGGAGCCTGGGACTCCATCCGGATCTCCCCAGGTGGCAGGGGTTCAAGGACTTGAGCCATCTCCTGCTGCTTTCCCAGGTGCATTAGCAGGGAGCTCGATCAGAAGTGGAGCTGCCAGGACTCAGCTGGTGTCGCAGGTGGAGCTTAACCTGCTACATCATATTGCTGCCTCATTTATTTATTTATTTACTTGCTTATTTGAGAGGCAGAGAGACAGATAGATCTTCTACTCACTCTCCAAATATTTGCAACAGCCAAGGCTGGGTTCAAGCCCGCGTCACCTCTGGGAGCCAGGAACTCCACCCACATCTCCCACGTGGGTAACAAGGATGCAGCTACTTGAGCCGTCACCTGCTGCCTCTCAGAGTCTTCATTGGTGGGAAGAAGGAATCAGAGCCGGAAACTGAACCCAGACACTCGGGTGTGGGCTTTGGGGGTCCTAACTGGTGACGGCCTAGCTAGGCCAAATACCCATCCTTTTGTGCTGGGTTTAATGCAGAGCATTAATGCTAGCATTCAATGGTATGCAAGGGTTCTTCAAAAAGTTCATGGAAAGTGGAAATCACAGTTCATTTTGGTGCAAAAAACCTTTTGAAATAAATGTATAAGGGCCAGCGCTCTGGCATAGCAGGTGAAAGCGCCACCTGCAGTGCTGGCACCTCATATAGGTGCCGGTTCGAGTCCCGGCTGCTCTACTTCCGATCCAGCTCCCTGCTATGGCCTGGGAAAGCACTAGAAGATGACCCAAGTCCTTGGGCCCCTGCACCTGCGTGGGAGACCTGGAAGAAGCTCTTGGCTCCTGGCTTCAGATCGGCATAGCTCCAGACTTTGCGGCCGTCTGGGGAGTGAACCAGAGTTTTGAAGACCTCTCCCTCTGTCTCTGCCTCTGCCCCTCTGTAACTCTGCCTTTCAAATAAATAAATAAATATTTTTTGAAAAAGAAATAAATGTATAGTTTTTTTCATAATATGCACTTTCATGGGCATTTTGTGGACCCCCTGTATGCATGGATTTCAATTTTTTTTTGCACCAAAATAATCTTTTGATTCCATTTTCCTTGAACTTTTTGAAGTCTCCCTCCCACCCCCACATTCCAAGGGCTCAGCACTGTATATGCTCCACAATTAGGTGTTGAATGAACGAATGAATGAGTGAATGTGGCTTTATTCTTCCTAGTTGACTTCCCGGAGTTCAGAAGAAGCAGACGAGTGGCAGAACTCCCCCCGCCCAGGGTGGAAATGTCCACAGAGTGGGTTCCGAATCAGAGGACGCTTCCATGGCATCGCTGGGAGCTCCAGGCTGTGTCTGCCCCTGCCTCGGACCCAGCTCGTCCGTGTCCTTTAGTCTGGGGGTGATGGGGCTCTGTCTGCACTGAGGTCGCCAAGCCTGATCTTCCTAGACAGCACCTGCTTTGATGGACAGCACCATGGTGAACAGGGGTCTAAACAATTTTTAGTATCACCTCCAAACGAGTGCGAGAACGGAAGCCTGCAATTGGCCGCTTCCGTTACTGCAGGTGGGACATGACTCACGACAGCAGAACAAGGGTTAACTCAGTCAGCACCTGCCAGCTTCAGGAAGGGCTTATGCTCACCAAGAAATTGTGAACACTGGCAATGTTGCTAACCTCCAGCTCACCATTCAGGAGATTCACTCATGGGTTCTCTCTCTCTCTCTCAGATGTATTTGATTATTTGAAAGGTAGAATGACAGAGAGAGAGAGAGAGAGAGAGAGAGAGAGAGAGAATGTTCTTTCATCCACTGGTTCACTCCTCGAATGCCCGTGACAGCAAGTGCTGGGCCAGGCTGAAGCCAGGAGCCAGGAGCTCCGTACCAGTCTTCCATGTGAGTGGCAGGGACTCAGGCACTTGGGTCATCTCCCGCTACTTTATCAGGCACATTAGCCGGAAGTGTTTGAACAAGCGCTCTGATAGAGGATGCCCATGTCCCTGGCCATGACTTAACCAGCTGGGCCTTAACACAGGCTCCACTCAGGGGTTCTCACAGCCACCTGCCATGCCTAGTGTCTCAGACTACTTTCTGTTGCTGTAACAAAATACCTGAGACTGTGACTTTTATAAAAATAAAAAGGAGGCGGGCATTTAGCTCACAGTTTCGGAGGCTAAAAGTCCAAGCTTGGGCGGCCGTTGGTGAGGGTCTCCTTGGCTGCAACACCAATGACAGTGAGAGCACACACAAAGGAGAGACCACTTGGTGAGCCAGGAAGCCGAACAGGTTCAGGGATTAGCTCTTTTGCTAACAGCCTGCTCTAGCAGGAGCTAACAGGGTCCCTGGAGAACTATGTCAGTGCCTTCCACGGACTGCAGGACCCCAGTGACCTATCTCGCTCCCAGTGGTCCCCACCCCTTGAAGTTCCCACCACCTCTCAAACACCGCCACTGAGGACCACACTTCTGGCACACAGACATCTGGGTGGACACACGCAAACCATGCCCGGCGCTGTTCCAAAACTCCTAGAGACCGCAGACAGACTGGGGGAACTCGGACTCAGAGGAGGACGCAGAGCAGGTGTGGGGTGCACCCACGACGGAGGTCAGGTGGGAAACAGCCGATGGCTTTGAGTGGAAGCAAGGGGTCCCCAGCATCTCCAAGAGCGGGATTGTCTGTGGCTCTGCCCCATAAGCAGGAAGTTCATCGTGTGATCAGACACTGAGTAGGTCCAATTTAGAAAGATGGTAAGGGCAGACATCTCAGAGCAAACAGCTGAGTGAACTAACACATTTGTCACCTCACTGCCTCCGTCCCCCTCTGTCTTGCTGCTCCTAAGGAGGTGACGAGGATCCTTAATTAAAGTGGGAACAGATCTTCCCGCGTATCTCCGAACAGCTAAGATGCTCTTAGCCATGACCTTGGAGACCCGTAGCTAGCCAAGCTGCCTGTCTAGTGCAATACTTCAGACACTCAGAGAGAAAACTAGAACACAAACGGACGTCCTGTCACTCAGATTTAGCAAATCTTAACATTTTTCTTTATTGCTTTGGCTATGTTTTCTTACAGATTTACTTATTTTATTTGAAAGGCACAGTGGGGGAGAGAGAGAGAGAGAAAGAGAGAGAGAGAGATTGTCCATCTGTGCGTTCACTCCCCAAGTGGCCACAATAGCTGGGGCCGGGCCAGGTGGAAGCCAGCAGCCAGGGGCCCCGTCCAGGTCTCCCACGCAGGTGGCAGGGGTCTGAGTGTTTGGCCACCACATGCTGCTTCCCGGAAGCATTAGCAACAAGCTGGATCGGAAGCATGCAGGAGCCAGGAAACAAACTGGCTCTCTGACCTGGAACGTGGATGTCCCAAACGGCAGCTTAACCTGACGTCCCCTGGCGGGTTCCTCACCGCTCTGATTATTTGTAAAGGAACATAATATCACAAGTACTGCCGAAGTCACTTGACACGCCTGGCCAAATCCATTCCTCTTTCTTCCCCAGACAGAACCTCTATCTTGAATTTGTATTGATCATCCCCAGCAAGATTTCTGCTATTAATTCATATTAATACACACATTCTACCAAGTGGAGAAATACATATATGTATGCAAAATCCTCCACATTGCAATCTGGCTGTTCACGCTCCACGCTATGCTTTGGAGAGTTATCGGTGCTCATGACCTTGGACTGCGACATCATCATATCCCTCTGCATGAAGTTACGTGTGCAGTTACCGCCTGATAAATGCTCGTAGCCTCCAATTTTTCATAAATTTTTCAATGAGCATTCTTGTCCGTGAATGCCATTCTGAAAATTCCTCTGGGACAATGGCTTTCAAACTCACCTGTTACCCACTATCAGAAATGCATTTTTAAACTTGTAATTAATTCATTATTTATCTGATTTTTTTTTCAGAGAGAGAGAGAGAGAGAGAGCACTCATCCTCTAGCTCACTCCCCAAATGCCTGCAATGCCCAGAACCGGGCCAGGATGGAGCTGGAAGCTCAGAACTCAATCCAGATGTCTCACCTGGCAGGTGGCAGGAACCCAGTTAACCTGAGCTGTCACTGTTGCCTCCCAGCACCTGCCTTAGCAGGAAGCTGGAATCAGGAGCAGATCCAAGACTCAAACCCAGGCCCTCTGGGAAGGGATGCGGGCCTCCCCGCTGGCACCTACGCTAAG